TTTCAGAGTTTATGTTTCTAAGGGTCAGGTTGTTTCTGACACTTCATGGTGCCAAATTATGACTCCACCTTTTGGTGGGAGAGGGCAAGGGGTAGTGTTCCTAATGTGGCCTGTTCCGAAAGTGCCCTGATGTTTGTCCTTCTCAGTTCCCCTTCTACCTGTGGTGTCATTATAATCTATAATAATAAAAGCATAATATGCTAATTAGACCGAATGGAGTGGGGTTGCCAGGGAAGCCCGGTCCTGGGTGCCAGAGGGAAGCCAGTGCTGGTGGGAGGGCGGGGGGCGGGGAGAGGAAGGCCTACTCTTGCAAGAATTCGTGCATCTGGTCTCTAGTGATTATATAATGAGCTCTGAGGTGTTTCTCTGGTCAGTTTTTCCTCCATCTTGGATTGATTTGGTTTTAGCCAGGCCTTGTTGTTGACTTCTGTGACCACTACAGGAGTTTTTTTTGCCATAGCTGTCTTCCCTTTGGTTATTCCGGGAGCTTGGGGCTCTGATGAGAGTACCTAGTGGCTTTTTGACCTGTGATGTCTATTCCTATTTATTCATTTCACTTGTCGAGAGCTTTTCCTAACTTCTTTCTGTCCTGCCTCACTCCTGGATAATTTCCCTCTGTTTCCTCTGGATTTTGCTCTCCTTCTTCATTCCAGGTGAGCCCATGCTCAGAGTAGCCATCGTGCCTTAAGCTGAGCCTGACTTGGAGCATTTTCTTGCCCCTTGCAGAGTGAGGCTCAGACCATAAGTTGAAAGGGGCCGAGAGGTGTGAGGAGCAGGACAAGGGGCTGCTTTCATTCTTCTCCCTGCCCACATTCCACCCACCACCCTTTTAAGGCCCCCTGGACTCAGGAATGGAATTTCCAAGTAGCTGGGTGTGTGGTATAAAGATTAGGTGGGTATGTTTGTTGCTTAAGAAGTCCTCGAGAGCCTCAAAGTTGTGAATAAATATGGGTTCTATGGAAAGTAATCTCACAGTGTGATCTGAACAGCTTTTCTTATTTTTAATCCTTACCCTCGAACATGTTTTTTTTAAAATTGATTTTATTTATTGATTTCAGAGATGAAGGGAGAGGAGAGAGATAGAAACATCAGTGATGGGAAAGAATCATTGATTGGCTGCCTACTGCATGCCCCCTACTGGGGATCAAGCCCACAACCCAGGCATGTGTCCTTGACCAGAATCGAACCTGGAATTCTTCAGTCTGCAGGCTGATGTTCTATCCACTGAGCCAAACCAGCTAGGGCTTTTTATTGATTTTAGAGAAAGAGGAAGGAAAAGGCAGACACACACACACACACACACACACACAGAGAGAGAGAGAGAGAGAGAGAGAGAGAGAGAGAGAGAGAGAGAGAGAGAGAGAAGACATTGATGTGAGAGAGAAACATTGATTGACCACCTCCCAACCAGGGATCTAACCCACAACCTGAGTATGTGCTCTGACCAGGAATCAAACCTACCACCATTTGGTGTATAAAATGACACTTCAACAAACTGAACCACACCAGCCAGGGCTCTCATAAGGTGATCTGATCACAGATTGCTAACTGGGTAGGTCAGGATGGGTATCATGCCCTGGCATATAACTTTAAAAAGAAAATAATCCTATATAATAAAAGGCTAATATGCAAATCGACCGAATGGCAGAAGGACCAGTCGTTATGACGTGCACTGACCACCAAGGGTCAGATGCTCAATGTAGGAGCTGTCCCCTGGTGGTCAGTGTGCTCCCACTGAGGGAACACCACTCAGCCAGAAGCTGGGCTCATGGCTAGCAAGTGCAGCAGCAGGAGGGGGAGCCTCTCCTGACACTCCATGGCAGCTCTAAGGATGTCTGACTGCTGGTTTATGGGGAGCGGGCCTACACCATCAGCCAGACATCCTCCGAGGGCTCCCAGACTGCAAGAGGGCACAGGCCAGGCTGAGGGACCGCCTCCCTCCCCCTGAGCGCATGAATTTTGTTCACCAGGCCTCTAGTTTTATATTTCAATATATTTGATTTCAGAGAGGAAGGGAGAGGGAGAATGATAGAAATATCAATGATGGAAATCATTGATTGGCACCTTCCTGCATGCCCCCAACTGGGGATCGAGCCCACAATCTGGGCATGTGCTCTGATCAGGAATCAAACCGTGACCTCCTGGTTCATAGGCTGACACTCAACCTCTGAGCAACACTGGCCAGGTGGCATGCAACTTCTTTAGTAAAGGGCTTATTGTTGCCTTCAGCAAGCCCTGCCCATGTTTCTGTACATTTAAGTTAACATTCCTTTGAAACGCCTCCTTTCAGACTGCTCCTTCTAATATCTGACCAAACTCTCAGAACCCTCTTTCTAAAGTGTGACCATCCTCAGGAGAGCACATAATCTTAACTACCCTGTAATCCAGCCCCTGCCTTGCTTTCTCCCACCTTCATGCAATTTTCCTTATGTTCCCTCCTAATCTCACATGTATAAAAGAAACTGCAAACTATAATTTTCTTAAGCATTTTTCTCAGTCTGTTGAGATCTTGCTTCCAGGCATGTTCTCTGTTTGACTCAAATAAATTTTTATAAGTTTTCTTGATAAGTTTGGACATTCTTATGTTGATAAGTCCTCATGACCATGGTCTGGCAGTTGTAGTGATGTTCGGTGACACTCCTTGGTTTGTCTACTCACTGTGGCCCTGTGCCCCTCAGGATATGGTATTGAAACCACCATTTTTGGCCCTAGCCAGTGTTGCCAAATGGATAGAGCATCAGCCTGTGGACTGAAAGGTCCCAGGTTCGATTCCAGTCAAGGGCATCTGCCTGGTTTGCGGGCTCATGTGGGGGGCATGCAGTAGGCAGCCAATCAATGAGCCTCTCTCATCATTGATATTTCTGTCTCTCTCTCCCTCTCCCTTCCTCTCTGAAATCAAGGGAAAAAAGAAGAAACAAACAAAAACCTCCCACCTTTATTGTGTCCCTGAAGCAGGCTGCTGGGAGAGGCAGAAATTCAAGGAAATTTTCGATAACCTGACTGGGATTAAGAAATGGTTAAGAATCAAGTTTTGTTTTTTAATTTATTGATTTTAGAGAGAGAGGAAGGGAGGGTGGGAGGAGAGAGAGAGAGAGAGAGAGAGAGAGAGAGAGAGAGAGAGAAACATTGATTTGTTGTTCTACTTATTTATGCATTCATTGGTTGATTCTTGTATGTGCCCTGACCAGGGATCAACCCACAACGTTGGTGTATTGAGATGATGTTCTAACCAACTGAGCTACCTGGCTAGGGCAAAAATCAGTTTTATGAGTGTGTAAATGAGTGATTAAGAATGAGGATTCTAGCCCTGACTTGGTGTGTCTCAGTTGGTTGAGCGTTGTCCCATGCACCAAAAGGTCACTGGCTCGAATCCTGGTGTGGGCTCAATCCCCAGGGTATCATTGATGATTTTCTCTCTCTTTCACCCTCTCCCTTCCTCTCTCAAACCAATAAAAAACAAACAAACAAACAAACAATAACAAAAAAAAAAACACATACAAAAAAATGAGGACACTAGAGCCACATTGTCTGGGTTAAAATTCAGCTCTGCCACTTTCTACCTGTGTGATTGTGGGAATAGCACACAAAACTTCCATTCTCATTTTGCATGAGAATTGGATCTTCATTTCACTTTGTATATCCTTTCTCTGGGAACCTGAAAAATGGAGTGAGTCAGGTGCACATATGCAACCTTGCTTATGATAAAAATGACCTCTGTGGTAAAAATGACTACCGTTGGACTGGGAGACCTTCTCCCATCTGATAAGAAGCCATTCCTTGTATTTTGCTGAGTATTGTGACTCACTGTCCTGTCCTTTATGGGGACCCTGGAAACTGTGCGTATGGCATTGTTGCAAGCAGTAGTGGCTCCTGTCAGGTATAAACCAGAGTGCTTGCCATAGCCACCTTTTCCTGCCCCTGAGCTATCACCTTAAGGGCTAAGGAGAATGGTTTCTCAGTGGCTGGATGGCCTGGGGTTCTGTGTACTGGTCCCATTGAAAAGAAGCCCTAAGGTTGCTCGGTCAAAGAGCTGTGTCCCTGTCCCTTCTAGGTGGATCTAATGTCAAGTATCAGTGGAAGTCTTATGAGTCTCGATGTTTACTTAAAACGAAAACGATTTTCAACCCTGTGCATTTTTCTATTCTATAAATTGGGAATGATAACACTAGCTGCTTTCTAGGGTTGTTGTGAGGATTGTAAGGTGCATAGAACAGTGTCTAGTACACAAGTATGTGCTGCTGTCATTATCACCACCACCACCACCACCACCACCACCATCATCATCATCATCATCATGAATGTTATTAGGGAGGCCAGGAGGCCCTTTCTTCTTTGGGTCAATTCTAGTCTCATCTTAGTTACTATAACTCACTATATGGCTTTGGGCAAATGACTCCATTCTCTAAGGACACAGCTTCTTACAGTCTATTCTAGGTTTTCCACTTATTTGTTGAACAAGTTAATGAATTAGAAGAGGCAACTAAATGTTTTTTTGGGTCCTTTCTGGTTTCAAATATAAGGTTTTGTGTGGCACTGATTCTGAGAAGAAAGCTGAAGGGGCAACAGGAAAGAGGTGAGAAAGCACCTGCAGTGGGAGTGGTGTCAGGGGTCAGAGGTCTGGAGAGGGGACAGGTCATCAGGAAGAGATGGAAGGTGTCCAGTAGTCCCACTTACCTCATAAATCTAGCCAAGGGCTTAGGAAAGGACTGTGGATGATTCTGACGTGGGAGAAATGCTTTCCAGAACCTGTGTTTCTAGGGCAGGCTTACCAGGGGCCAGAGAGCCAGGTTGAAATGGCTACAGTTGGTTGTTTTGGAGTATTTCTTGGAGGAAAACTGCAGAGTAGCCTCACACTCGCTGGATTTTTCTTCTCCAAGGACACCATTCACAGTGGCAATGAAAATGAGGATTTCCGACCTCCTGACCTGCTGGGGGGAGGAGCTAGCAGTGGCCCCTCCAAAGCCAGCCCTAATGCTGTGTGTTTCTCCCTCCCTCCTTAGGTCTGAATACTGGGGCTTTTTATGCCTTGTCCACTCTGCTGAATCGCATGGTGATCTTGAACTATCCGGTAAGGGAGTCCCCTAAGCGTGTGAGGCCCGGAGAGAATGAGGTTACTGAGTCTGTCTCAGCAGGAGCTGGGGTAGTGGTTAACGCTTGGATCCCCCACTTCTAGGCAGCAGGGTATGGTGGTATGCTCATGGGATTTGGAGGATTTCAACCCTAACTCTGGTGGCATTAAACTGTGTGACAAGCTAGTTAATATTTCTGAGCTCTCATTCTCTTTTCTGCAAAAGAAGCATAATTACTGAAAGATCATTTTTAGGATTAGAAAGTAAGTAATATTGTGTGTGTGTCTATGTGTATATTTATATAATATATGTTATATAGACATATGCATAACATGCCACATGACAACAAAGTAAACATATACATATTTGGAGTCACAGCTGAAATATTTAATTTGTAAAATATGGGCAAAGTTTAATTTTGCACTCTTAGTCACTCAACTGAAAATATTGTTTAAATGCTTCCAGAACCAGTGAGGACTAGCTGCTGGGAATGGAATACTGATTATCCTGGAGTCAGGAATCCCAGGTTTAACCCTTTTGTGAAAGGACCAGGGTCACATTGTTATGGAGGTGGTTGCTGTGGCTAAGTGCTCCGGTTTTGGAGTGTCACAGGTCTGAGTTCAAATCCTAGCTCTGCATTTAATAAATGCCTCATGGCTTGGACTGATAGATTCATCTCACTGTGCCCCAGTTTATTCACCTGAAAAATGGGGAGTACTGATTCCTAACCTTATGGTGGGGGAATTAGGAGAATTAAATGGGATAATGATGTAAAATCCTTGGCATGGTGCCTGGCTCATAAAAGTAAGGGCTCAAAAACATATAGCTATTATTTTTCCATTCCTCTTGGCAGAAAGAGCTCAAAGACGCCTAAGTAGGGATATATGTATATATATATTTTAGTTTACCTACCTGTGAAATGGGAATAATGATAAACAAGAGAAAAGAGTTGCTGTAAGGATTACATTTTAAGAAATAATCTTCCTCAAAGTGGTTCTAAGGACAGGATTTGGTTCACCCCAGCATCCAGTAGCAGGCACCCGCATCTGGGGTCACATTTTATTGGGAGTATTTTCTCCCCGTTGGCAGCCTCTTACAGGGCTGCCCTGATACCTTCTGAGAACTGGCTCTCATGGAGCTGAGTTCCCTGCCTTTGCCCCTTCACCTCGTGGTGACTGTGCTCTGTCTGGGCCTTGTCCTGTCGCTGGCTGACCTTTGGGTTGTGGTTTTCTTTCCCAGGGGGAAGAAGTGAATGCTGGAAGAATAGGCCTCACCATCATCATCGCAGGAATGTTTGGGGCCATGATCTCTGGTATCTGGCTGGATAGATCCAAAACCTACAAGTAAGTGACTCTTCCTCTCAGACCTCAAATTGGGGGGCTCACATTTAAAATGACATGTTCATTCAGCAACGCAGTCCCAAAAGTTTCTGAGAGATTAGAGTTAGAGAGATTAGAGGTAAAGGACATGAGGCCGAGCACAGCACCACTCACCCCGGTATGGCTATGCAAGGGACAGGTGGGGGAGAAGTGAAAATGAATGCAGAAAAATGTCAGCAGTTGGAAAATTTGTGGAAACCCCGAAGAGTGGGAATGAGGGGGTGATTCCATTGGCCTGTCCTCGTGGCTCCCTTGGACCCCATGGCCTTAACAATGGTGCCCTGTGCTTACTTTGGTTTGCAGTGCATTATCTTGCAATTGCTTATACTGTACCTCGTTGGTAACTATTGTGATGTGTTTTGGGTCTGGTGCCCAGAGCATTTCTAAGAGCCCAGAGTGGTCTTCTGAAGATTTTGGTGTACGACAGTCAGCCTTGGTTCATCGTTCCTTACAGCAAAAGGTTTTAGGTTCGATTTCCAGTCAAGGCACATACTGGTTGAAGCATGTATGCAATGGATGTTTCTCTCTTTCTCTAAAAATCAGTGAACACATCCTCAGATGAGGATAAAAGAATAAAGATTTTAGTGTATGTCAAACTAATTCAGGATGCTATTAAAAATACATACTTGTGGACTCCACTGCCATGGATACCAATTCAGTAGGGGAATCTGCATTTGCCTCAATCTGCATTTGTGTCAAATTCCCTCAAATTCAATAAATAGGCTCAGAAAAAAAGACTGAATAAAACAGGCACAGCATCCTTCTCTTCTTACTGCATCTTTTAAAAAATAATATATTTCTATTGATTTCAGAAAGGAAGGGAGAGGGAGAGAGAGATACAAACATCTATGATGAGAGAGAATCATTGATCGGCTGCCTCCTGCATGCCCCCTATTGGAGATCGAGCCCTCAACCCTTGACCGGAATCAAACTTGGGATCCTTCAGTTCACAGGCCGGTGCTCTATCCACTGAGCCAAACTGGCCAGGGCTACTGCATCTTCCCAGTGCTCTGCATACATTGGGTGCTCCATTAATGCTGGCCAGCAGGGCAGCTGCCAGGGTTGCCTTGTGCTGGGTCAGGGCGGCATTCTGGGCTGCTTTGACAAGGCCTCCAAAGTTCCCAGTGTCTGCAGGCGACAAGACAGTGGCAGACCTGTTCTCTGCCCCACAAACCAACTTCTGTCAGACCAGGTCTCACTGTGGCTATCCTAGTCAAAGGCCAATTGAGGCCATCCCCAATGATGTGGCTGCCTGGCTGAACATGACGAAGGCCTTGGCTTGGCTTAATTAACTGCTGCTGGAGCTTGGCTTCCCACTCTTCTCTGTCATCTGTCAATTGCTTGCTTCAGACACACATGAGAGTAGTGCTTGCTCAGTGGCAGGAGGAGGAGTTGGAATTCCGCTAAGACTGGAATGTGGGCAGCAGATGATTCAGATGAAAATACAGTGAAAGGCTGGAGAGGACACTTCAGAACCTAGATGCCACCCATTCCTTTGCTTCATTCGATGCCTGGGTCCTGCCGGCAGCGCGAGCCATTCCCTGAACTACACCCCAGGGAGAAAGGATGAGTGAAAACTGTGATCCAGTCCTTTTGGTGCCGGTCTATTTCTCCTCGAGGCCCTCAGATTAGTCCTGTCCGGTTTGGAGGCTGGAAATGCGGTGGTCAGGTCCGTTTATCTCAGGCTGGGATTACAGATAGTTTTTCTAGACAGATCAGTAGTTTGAGACGAAGCTGTGGTTGAACAAATCTGGTGAAAGATGAGCTGGTGGGGTCAGCGAGAGAGAATGGGGTTCATGAAGTAGCTTCCTGTGGGGTGGGTTGGACCAGATGAGGGGAGCAGGGCGGAGGAAGGACAAAGCTCCTCTATGCGCAGCAGCTTTGAAGTGCTGGGTGGGAGGGGCATCCTCCAGAGGCTCTGGCCTAGAGCTTTTCCAAAGCTGCAACCACGTTGAGTATTCGTATCCTCTGTGCAATAGAGGAAAGAGCGCAGAGTTCCAATCCCAGCTTCGGGTTCAAGTCCCAACTCTGCATTTGTTCAACAGGTTACTTTATTTATTTTTTTTAAATAAATCTTTATAGTTCAGATTATTCCTCTTTCCCCCCCACCCCCATAGCTCCCCTCCACCTGATTCCCCACCTCAACCCACGCCCTTACCCCCCACCACTGTCTTCATCCATAGGTGTAAGATTTTTGTCCAATCAACAGGTTACTTTAGACTAGTAACCGAACTAGCTTGAGCCTCCATCTTCTCCTCCTCCTCCTCCTCCTCCTCCTCCTCCTCCTCCTCCTCCTCTTCCTCCTCCTTCTTCTTCTTCTAATATAATTTATTGATTTTTTACAGAGAGGAAGGGAGAGAGATAGAGAGCTAGAAACATTGATGAGAGAGATACATTGACCAGCTGCCTCCTGCACACCCCCTATTAGAGATGTGCCCGCAACCAAGGTACATGCCCTTGACCGGAATCGAATCTGGGACCCTTGAGTCCGCAGGCCGACGCTCTATCCACTGAGCAAAACCAGTTTTGGCAAGCCTCCATTTTCTTATTTGTGAAAGTAGGGATAGTCATACATGTCTTTAGGGGCTTTGATAATGTTTGAGTGAAATAATAAATGAACGTAAAATGCTTTACAGAATTCCCTGCACCCAAGAGCTACAGGCATTAGTTTGACATTACCACATAGCATGCGTCCTCAGATGCCCCCACCAGGTGTCTGGCTTCAGGGGAGATGTGTAAAGGCTTTTAAACTTGCATCGTCTGAGACCTAACGTTCAGGGCAGAAGGGAAGAGGTGTATGCAGAGCTGGTCCCCTGCAGTGAGTAGGGCAAGGAGAGGAAAATAGATCTGAGCAGGAGTCAGGCCCCAGCAGAGTCCAGAGTGGGTGCCACGGAGACATGTGGGGAGGTGCACAAGCTGGGTGAGCCTGAAACAGACCAGCTCGTTGCTGATGGCCCTTCTGAGGGGACCGACAAGGGGAAATGTGACGGAGTGGGTGGAGGTTTCTCACTTTGGAGTCACATACTTCGTTCAGGGCTGGAGAATGTTCCCTGTTAGTACCTGCTGTCTGGAGTAAACCAGATTCAGCAGGAAAACCCATGCAAGTGGCAGCAGGAAGACTGTAGAGATGACAGGGAAACTACACTGAGTGGCCAGATTATGATGATCTCTGAACTCACAATAATCTGGCCACTCAGTGTATATCCTATATAATAAAAGGCTAATATGCAAATTGTCCCCTCAACCAGGAGTTTGACCAGCAGGCAGGCTGGCCAACCACCCATGTTCTCCTCCCCCTGGCCAGGCTGGTTGGACCACACCCATGCATGAATTTATACACTGGGCCTCTAATATATACTACACACATACACACACACACACACACACACACACACACACACGGAGTGACCAGATTATTATGTGTTCAGAGATCATTATAATCTGGCCACTTAGTGTAAAAGTTAGGTCACTTCTCAGCATTGTTGCGGGATCCTGGGTGAAGTAGACATGCAGAATTGAGTGGTTTCTGGGGTGGCATGCTGGTGTTCCTCCTGTTTGTTTGCTTTTGGTGGGGGACGAGGAGAGGAAAGGGCTGTACCCTTCTTGCTGTGGGCAGGAACTGAGAAGTCAAAGTGCACTTTGGTGGTGTTGAGAGGGGTCTGCAGGAGGAGAACACACATGCAGCAAGATGCTTCATACACTCCCGGTATTACCCTTTGTAGCAGTGACCACATACAATTAAATAATTATCTGTGTGATTATGTTCAGTCTCCTATAAGAGCACATGTTTCAGCAGACAGCAGAGGGCTGAACACAGAGCAAGTGCCTGATAAAGACTTGTAGAATGACCGAATGAACAGATGATCCTATTAAAGTCCGAGGTGTATGAGTCAACCTTTTGGTCTCTGCTTGTAGGGAGACAACCCTGGTGGTGTATATCATGACGCTGGTGGGCATGGTGGTGTACACTTTGACCCTGAGCCTCCAGCATCTATGGATAGTGTTCATCACCGCTGGCACAATGGGGTAAGTTTCACCTCTAACATGTTTAACCAGAAAGCACCATCCCATGGCTCCTAGAGCTGCTGACATCCTAGGATGTAATACGGATCCCTTTGCTGCCTTCTCACTGACCTGTGTGGAGATGTGGAAATGGTGCTCAGAGAACTTATTTGTTTTTGCTTGTTTGTTTGTTTGTTTGTTTTGCACTTCAAAAGGCTGCCTGGGGCTTCCAGACCCATCTGTGCTGTTGGGATACACTGTATTTCTTTACAGACTTGGGAGGTTAGGAAATGTGTAGAGTCTTTTTTAGCTCTGCCTCAGACAATGTGGGTCCTGGAAAGTCTGGATCCTGGTCTCAGTTCCGCTGCAGACTCTCTATTCGTCCACAGGCATGTCACGTAGCCACTCTGAGCCCCTGTCTCCTCATGTGTAAATGAAGATAAGTGGCCTGACTTGTAGAGTTGTTGGAGGATTGAGAGAGATAACAGATGTGAAAGCAGCAAAAAGTGTGGTGCAGGCACGTGTAAGGCATTAAAATTGCAAATTTATAAACCTGTTGTATGAGAAAGCATGCCTTCTGCACAGGACTCTCTGCTCAGCTTTACCTCTCCATTATTTACTGTGGGCAGTACGTGTGTGTGTGTGTGTGTGTGTGTGTGTGTGTGTGTGTGTGTGTGAAAGTCAGCTGGTGACTGGTGACTCTGTGGCGAAATAAAAAGGACTTTGAGCTCCTTCCAGGTCCCACAGAGTCATGGAGATGCTGTTCTATATCCAGGGACTTCCCATAGCATAGAGTCTGTGTATCCATGACACAGAGTCTCTCAGCTGAGGGCTGAGCTCCCCAGGCATCCCACCCTCTGTAAATGCTGACCCTGTCTGCCACTGTGGCTGGATGTAGAAGAAGAGCTTTTGAGTACAAAGCCTACCTATGAGCCTCTTCCTGGCCTGCAGGATCCCTCTTTCCTTAGTATGGCCCTCTAGCAGGTGGCCTGATCATTCAAGGGCCCAGCATGTCTTGATGGGTAGAAACCAGGAGGAAGTGGGCTCTCTGTCCTTCTTGTTCTGCAAGTTCTCTATCACCTTGTTTCTGTGGTCTGGCCCTCAGGTTCTTTATGACTGGCTACCTCCCCCTGGGATTTGAGTTTGCCGTGGAGCTGACATACCCAGAATCGGAAGGCATATCGTCTGGCCTCCTTAACGTGTCTGCCCAGGTAGGTCTTATTTGGTGGTGGCCCCATAGCAGTGACTCTTTGTTTCTTGTATTATGGCAGCTCAGCTCTACCGTGGGTTAGTTGGCTGGGCCCTTGGTCCCAGTCTTCGTTGTATTTTTCCAGGTATTCGGGATCATCTTCACCATCTCCCAGGGCCAGATAATCGAAAATTATGGCACCATGCTTGGGAACATCTTTCTGTGTGTGTTCCTTGCCCTTGGAGCAGGCCTCACTGGTGAGTTGGGGCCTTGGAACAAGATAAGGCTCTGGGTGCTCATGCGCTGAGGCAGTTTGAGATCCAGTGTCTTGACTGACTGACTGTACAGATGAGGAGTATACATTACCTAGACAGGCTGGAGGGAAGGGCTAGTCAGGAAATCTGCTAGGGAGGTAAAAATATGTTTTGGTGGAATGAGCATGGGCTTTGGAGATAAAAGACCCTTGTTTGAATCCCAGGCTGTGATATTAACCTCCATAGCTGTTTGACCTTAGGCAAGTGGACCAATATCTGGGAGCTTCCATTTGCTGATTTGTAAAATGGGGATTTACAAGTACAAGGCCATTGTCACTGGCTCCAGGCTTTAACAAGGTGGGTGACAGTGTGCCCCTAGCTCCCTGGAATATTTGATGTACAATAGCTCTGGGATGTCCGTGGGCCTTAGGACAATTAGGGCTCCCACTCTGGGATGGACTTGAACATTAGTCTGCTTGATAACTCTGTGTCTCTGTTGCTCTTCCTTCTCAATCCCATGACCTCAGCATTCATCAAGGCAGATCTACGGAGGCAGAAGGCGAATATGGAATTTCCCGAGAATGTATGTACTTGAAGCTGGCTGGGCTGAAATCTGGGTTGCAGGCTGAGGAAGTGGCAGCATGGGTAGGGGTCAGGAGAGCAGCCTGGTTGGGGGCGGGAGAGCTGACAGATTTCAAGGTGCCTGTGAGACTAGTGCAACTCTCATGAACATAGCATCCAGTTTCCTCAGTGGCTGCTTCAGCACGCCCTTTCTGCTGCTCTTTCCCAGGCTTCTCTCCAGCTTCCTTCTCTTTCCCTGGTCTCTCTGCTCTGGTCCTCAGAGTGTGTCACTGTTATCACAGTCTGCTGAGCAGTACCCACCCGTGGACCCTGAGCCCGGGGGTCAGTAGCTGTAGAGGAATGGCAGGAGCCTGTCATGGCAGTGGCGGCCCCAGGGCAGGGGGCTGTCCCGGTATGTGACAACCGCTTAGGCAGTGCCATGGGGATCTAAGGACTGGAGCCAGTGGGTAGCCAATCAGGCCCTAGAAGGATAAGTCTGGAAGCAGGAGCCGATGATGGTGTAAGGAGAGAGAACCAGGATGTGATCTGTAGTAGGAAAGTGTTTCTCCTCTGTTCCCATCAGCTGGGAATAATTTTAACCAAAATGTTAGGTATCAAATCTGAGCCAGGATGAAAGGAATTTCAAATCTGAGCAGTAAAGACAGGATATTTTTAAACAAAAGAACAAAACAAAACGAAAAAATCCAGAAGTTATTACAGAGGTAATACGTACTCTTTATAGAATAATGAAAAAAAAAATACAAAAGTGTACAAAATTTAAAAATCATCCTGTAATACCACCATCCAGAGGTAAGATGCTGTAGTTTTTGCATTGACTTATACATGTCCATATTCCCATATAATATATATGTATATATATCCATATGTATATGTCTGTGTGTATACACACACACACACACACACACACACACACAAACTTCCATTTTCTCTTGTTGAATATTTAGGCTGTTACAATATTTCCCTATTCTTGCAACCAGATCCTGTGCATGCGGATCAGGTTTGTCACACAGGGTTGGAGTTGTTGGCTTAGTCTTTCTTTTTGGAGTATTGAAAGTAGCACTGAGTTATAAGAGACAAATCTTGCAATGGTTCTCAACACTCTGTGTCCCTGGATAAGCCACTCTGCATCCCTGGGCCTCACTTGCATTTGGGCAGCTGGCGCTATAGGAGGTCAGAGTAATGCTGGGCTTGACACCCAAGAAAGCCAGGGCTGTCAAGCATCCCTTCTCTGACGCCTGCCGTGGTGGGCAGTGTGAGTGAGACCTGCATGTTAGCACACAAATTCATTATCAGAGCCATGTAAATTCAGGGCACATAGCCGATCTGGCCAGAACTGCTTTTTCTTTTTAATCATACAGTGAGATATATCATTTTGATAAAAAGAGACAGAATGGAGGTAGGCAGCTGACCCTGACTATGAAAATCTTGGTTTAAGTTTCCATTTTTCTTCTAGTTAAAAGACTGGCTATGCTTCCATTCCCACTAATCTGTGTTTTTGATTGTGATTTCAAGGTGGTGGCTCTGAAGGAGGCAGGTGCGTGTGTACATATGTGCACACGTGCGTGTGCCAGAGACTGCCTTAATGACTTAAGCTGCCTGAATAAAGGCTTTTTCTGACTGAGGCTGACCCAGAGCCAAAAGTTAGTGAGACTGAGAATGGGAAGGTTGGATTTACACAGCTGTTGCCATTGTCATGGACTGTCCTTGAGACACTCCCTGGGGAAGCACCATGAGTCTGATTGACAGGACTCTAGGTTGGCCCTGCACACACTTCCCCAGCCCCTGAGTGGTGCCGTGCTGTGCCCAAGGCCTTCTCCCTAACTAGATATGAACCCTTGAGCTAAGAAGCAAAGCACTTCTTGAAAGAGCAAATTCCCAAGGTGGCGGTATGCACCTAGTGTCCCCACTGGATAATTTCCAGGCTGTATTTAATGCCAAACTCACCTCACAAGTGTGACCCAGAAGACTCCTCTAATCCTGCACACTCTCTCACTGAGAAAGCCAAAGCCAGATCAACTCAAAGCCTCTTTTTCTGTGCACGAAGCATATATACTTATTTTTAGTCATTGAGTTTTCCTATGCAATTATACATCCTGCTTGTATAAACATTTTTGTTGTTGTTGTATTCATTCCATGCACATTGTAATACTATTCTTTGTCCTGGGAGCTGCCTCCAAATGGGCATAGTTAGGAATTCGGGAGTTGCAGACGTGGCACTTGGGCAGCTGTTGGATGGTCAGTGCCAGGATGTTTAGAAGGGAGCAGGAGGGGGCAGCACTGGCACTTGGAAGGGGATGGTTTGTGGTGACTGTGGCATTGCAAAAAGTTGGCCTTTTGGTTTTTCCATTGATGACCTTGTGATGGCATGTGTGCATTTGTACATGTATGTGTGTGCTTTTGTGTGTGTGTGTGTGTGTGTGTGTGTGTGTGTGTGTGTGTGTATAGGGAGCTCAGGAGCCAGGGGCTGGCACTTCTTTCCTTGTTCCCTTTGTTCCCTCATGAATATGCCTCTGGCTCCTGTTTTCCCCGCTGACTATAGAATCCCTGCCAGGCAGTGGCTCCGGCCAGGGGGGAGCCCTGTGCTTCTTCACCCCAAGGACTGCCTGCTTGTTTTGCCTTGTAGAAACTCCAGGAGGAGGAGGAAAAGGAAAAGGTGGAGAAAGTGGAGAAAGCGGACAATGTCACCAGCAAAGAACCCACCACTTTGTCTGAGGAGCATCTCTGAGACGAGAAGGGGGTGGCAACTCAGGGAATACGGACACCCCACCTCTTCCGTCAGCACCGCTCACTGCCAGCACCGGGGTCTTCACAGGGGCAGCTTGTGGAGGGAACCGGCTGGAACATTGGTGGCTTGGACGGCAGTGCCTAGCTTCTGGAACCCACTTAAGAGCCTGCACGGTCTAGTTGGGGGAAATCGCACCTTTCACCAAATGCAGATTGGATCCCCGTCCCTCCCCTTGCAGGTTCCAGGAGCTGGTGTTGGGAGAGGCTGGCCAGGCGTGGAGTCAGCCCTGGCTTTGTGCCTTGCCTTTCCTCTTCACCTCCATCCCTCATGGGGAAAGCCTGCAAAATTATCGTGGAAAGAAAGCTTATTCCGGATATTAACTTTTTCTAGTGTCTGAAGACCCAATTCTAAGGAGCGGAGGTTGCGCTGGATGAGGGTCCTTCTTGGGTCATTGGACTTGACGGCTAACGTTCCGTGGGAGAGAAAGCACCATCGGGCCAAACCCTTGGGTCCTCTTTTCTCCTGGCCTAAGGTTGGGGGCTATCTCCGAACCCTCTTTCTTAAGAGCTGATCAAACCAAACATCAATAAACCTGAGAAAGACTTTGTTGTAGCCTTGAAGGAGAAACTGATTTGGGAAAGGTAGCCACCCGGGTGTGTGAGGGTGCTGGGGGCTCCCTGCTGAGCGGGTTTGTGAAGGCCTGTATGTAGGAACTCAGGGAAGCTCCGTTAGGGAATAGGGAGGTTCTTTTCTACAAAATCAGCCCTTGCCCAGAGATTCTGTGTGACATTGTCACCTCTGATGCCTTCATAGGGGCACTGCCTGGAGGAACTAGGTGCTTGCTTTCTCTGTAGAGAGGGGATACCAGCCATTGTCCTGTAACCTTTACTGAAAACGAACCTCGATCCCTTCCATGCTGAGAAATCCAAAGCTGCGTCTGAGATGAGAGGAAATGTGGCCTTTGAAATGGGAATCGCATCTGCTTGAATTAAGTGTATCCCGCTTTGGTGGGGGCAGTATTTGCACACCCCCCCCCCCGCCCCCCCTCCTAGCACTAACCTTTTATCAGACGTTCCAGATTTTAGGGGACTCCCTTGAAGCCAACCCAAGCTGACCCCCTCCCCTGCTGAACCTGCTCTCTGGCTCTCCGCATAGGCTTGGGTGGGTAGCATCTCCTGAAAAGAAGACATTTTGGTAATTGCTCCTGGTCACTGAGCAGCGGCAGTCAGGACCACTGTGCTGGTTTGCTGTGGCTACTGCCCTGGACACAGCATGTCAGAGCAGCCTGTGCTGGCAGCAGATCTGGGTGCTGGGCCACTGCCAGAGAAGCTGGGGTGTGTGTGTACAGACACTGGATGTGATAAAAGAAGTTCACACTGCAGGTCGGGGGACTGAGTGAGGGTGGAGAGAATGCCTAACATTTTTTTTTTTTAAAGAGATGTTTTCATTAATATTTTAGAAACAGAAACATCGATGTGAGAAATATCAATTGTTTGCCTCCCGCAGTGCCCCGACCAGGGATCAAACCCCCAAAACCTAGGTGTGGGCCCTGATGGGGAATTGAACCGGCCACCTTTTGGTCTACGGGTTGACATTCCAATCGAGCAATCTGGCCAGTGCAGTATGCCTTACTTTTCGACAAGGAGAAAGGTGTTGACTTTTCATTCCCTCAAAATGTATTAACGAAAGGTTTACCAAATTCTTTGCTTTGTTTTAAAACATAATTTGCATTTTTCTATTTGTAAACCAGATGTTGTAAAGCAATAAAAAGAGTTCCCAAGTAGTCTGCCGTGTCATTTGATGGGGCAGAGGTGGGTTTCTGGTAGTCCCTCTGAGGTCATTGCACATTTCTGAGGGCTGGAGGGTGTGTGGGGGGGCGTCGGGGCTCGGGGAACAGCTCCTGTGGCCTCCGGTAGAAGTGGTCCTCTGTTTGCAGAGGTGTTACCATCCCAGTGGGTTACTTTTTAAAGATGAGGCCCTAAAGGTTACTGTCTGCCTTTGTGGGAGACGGCCACTCAACGTCCAACACATGACCCTGACCGCTGTCTGTGCTGAGTACAAATGAAGGTTCAGCCTAGTGTGAGGGCTGATGAGAGAGCCCACTGTTGTTTTTGGCTCTGCCTCAGAGGGTGGCTGGTGTTTGTTTTACAGTCACCCCGAGCTCTAGCCAGAGGCCACAGTTCCGGCATCCGCAGTTCTGATTTTCCTTCTGAACTGTCCTTCTTACTGCCACTCCTCCTTTCCCAGCCTCGTCTGTGTTCACCTGGTCTGTTACTTGGGTGTGCTGTGATCAGCTTTTCGTACATGTCTCATCTAGAGAGTTACACTGTGCCTGAGGCATTCTGGTACCATCTCGGTTATCAATTCTTTAAATCACATAGAAGGAGCTAAGTCGGGGCTGGCTGTTAAAGAAACCTAATAGTCATAGTGTCTGCTAAATACTGCACATCATCTCTTTTCTTTAAAAAAAAATATTTTTATTGATTTCAGAGAGGAAGGGAGGAGAGAAACAATAATGAGAATCATGGATGGGCTGCTTCCTGTCCACCCCACAATGGAGATCTAGCCCATAACCTGGGCAAGCACTCTGATTAGGAATTGAACCATGACTTCCTGGTTCATAAGTAGAGGCTCAACTACTGAGCCACACATCATCTCTTTAGATCCTTCGGGATCTTTATATGGAATCATATTTCTATGACACATGCCTAGAGGATGCAAATCGTATGTTTTCATTCACTCCTTAGGTGGGATCCATGTGTATCTCCACTCAAATGTTAACTCTGTAAGATCATTGCTTTTCTTTTTGCTTCCTTACAGTAGTTAGTAAGGGAAAGACAGTTCTTAGCAACTGAGCTGTTTTTCTAGATGTGTAGTATTGTGGGGATGCAACTATTTTTTGGGCACCATAAAGGAAGCCAGCCTGGGGATGAAGCCAACACAGGTAGGCAGAGCCAAAAGAATCACAGAGAAATGGAGCTGAGTCCTGATCAGACTTCCTGAAGTTTATAATCCCCTTCACTTTACAGTTTTGTTAGCCAATGTTATCTTTGTTGTTTAAGCTAGTTTAAGGTAGATTTTGTTCCTTTCACTTGGCCTTAATTGATAGAGAATTTCCAATGCATTAAGTGTCAACTTCAAGCTACCTGTCACCCCAAGTCTCCTGCCTGCCTCTCTGTTTTTTGTTAATCCTCACCCGAAGATATTTTTCCGTTGATTCTATCCCCCCCCCCCCTTTTTTTTTTAAAGAAAGAATGGAAGGGAATGGGACAGAGAAACATCTGTGAGAAACATTGATTGCTTGCCTCTTGCAAGCACTCCAACTGGGTCTGGGGATCAAACCTGCAACCAAGGTATGTGCCCTTGACTGGAATCGAACCCATGGTGCTTTAACCACTGAGCAACGACTAGGGTCGTAATATTCCTTAAGACACATGATACCTAGACATTCAAGTCTCAACTAAAATCTACCTCTTCTGGTGATGTAAGTTATGCACTTTCCTCTCCTTCTTGGTTACAATATTTTTCAGAATTCTTATCACTGTCTGAAGCTGTTCTTTCACTTGTTGGTTTTTTGTTGTTGTCTATTTCCTTGGCTACCGTGTGAGGACCACCATGGGAGTGAAGTCTTTACCCAGGTCATTCATTTCTTTCCCAAGTATCTTGCATGGAGTACGTGTTCAAGAAATACTTGTTGAAATAATGAATGGGCCTTGAGTCTACAAGCTGTGGGAGGGCCCAGCCAGTGTGGAGCCCTCGGGTTGTTTGAGGATGCTGTCCGCTCCAGTGCATAATCTTTGGGCGCCAGTGTTCTCCTTTCCTCGTCATGCAGCTGTTTCTTTTCTGCTGCCTGGTTCTGTATTTTGCCTATGCTTTCTCAACAACCTTTTTCTTCCTTAGGAAGAAAACAAGAAAGGGGCCTGATTGTTCTGTTGTGAACTCAGAATTTTGAAGGTGGGTCAGGAGGGGAGGAAGATCTGACTTGAAGGAGCTGGAGGCAGCCTGGTGTGCCTGGGTTTTGAGCTGTTCCCCTCACTCCGTGTATTTGATTAGTAGAAAGTATGATTCGCTATGTGAGGGCCCAGAGGAGGGCGGGAGTGCTCATGGCTTAAGGGGGGGGGTGGGGGGGGTGTCAAAGTACAAGGACTGATCGGAGCAGAGGGTTTTTCTGTTTATTACAAAATTCGTTACACAAATACAGCTGACCAGAAGGTCTAAAAACAGCCCAGACTCTTCCCACTCTAATCCATCCGTAGACACAAGGATATAAGCCATGCTCACTCACGGGGGAGCCCTTCGTAGGAGAACTGCCTGTCCCTCAGATGGTTTGGAGTCTTGGGTCCAGTGGCAGAGAGAAGCCCAGCATGCGTGGACAACTCCTTGAAGCAGCCCTTGGCAGCAGCTGCTCTGGGCGAGGCAGCGGCTTTTAGTTTCATGGTCCACTTGTTCCCACCACACAAGTCAAATCAAGGAATGGAAATACAACGAGAAAAGCAGGAGGCTGGAAAAGTGATCCACAGAGAGGCTGCGAGTGGGAGGGGCACAGTGGGCTGAGGTGCAGGCAATGTTCGGATCTGGATGGAAGTACAGAGGGGTCACTGTTAAATGATTCGTACATGTTCATACATGTTCTATACTTTTCTGTATGCATGTTAGAGCTTTAAAAAGTTTAAATGTAACAAAAGCAAACAAAACGTAAAAGGCTAGAAGTGGAGAAAGGGGGCTGGTGATGGAGCAGAAAAGAAGAAATTAAAGCGCAGAGAGGATGATGGGAGAAGACAGCAAGGATGGAAGACGAAGTCTTGGAGGTGGTACTGTTGGCATCAGTTTCTCTTCTTCTGTCTGGATACGGGTTCTACTTCTAGGTACCGGAGCCCGAAGAGCATCCCCAGGATCGAGAAACCTTAAATACAGAGAGAACATTATGGCTGACGTAAGCACAGTGCTCTCTCATACCCCTTGTATGTCTGCGTGGCTGGGACAGGTCCTGTGGGAAGTCTAGGGTGGTTGCATGCTTACTTGCCACCATCAGGGGAGCCAGAACGCCGATTGTGGGAGCCGCGGTCCCGTACACAAACAGCTCAGAGAGGAAGTGCCCCAGGGCGAGGAGGAAGGTCCAGAGCGTGATGTGGTAGAGCCTAGGAAGGTACAGACAGAAATAGAAACTGAAGGACTGCTTGTTCTGTGCAGAGGAAAAGTGGTGACCAGGCCCGCTGCACGCAAATAAAAACCCAGGAAGGGACTATGGCTAAAGGCAAAGGAGACTTGGTCCTGAGAAAGGCCTGGCCTGCTTGCTCACATCCATTCTCTACGTGAGAAAACGGAAGGTTTTAATTGCTAATCAGAGAGAATGGTCCAGGCATCCAGGGCGGATCTCCAAGTTCTAGCAAGGCGGTATGCCAGCTACAGCAAAGCAGGGTCTGCCTTCTGGCAAGCCCAGGCAGGGGAGGCAATTTTGGGTCAGCCATGCTTCCATATTCCACTTCCTCAAACGGGCTCGACTCTGTCATCCCAGCTCACATGGGGCTGTACTCATGATGGGGGGAGCCACAGAACGAAGAGCCCGAATGGGGGATGAGCAGCAAGGACCTCGGGGGGCTTTGAGGGACTCTTCTAACGTGGGCTGGTTATTGTGTCTCAGCTTGGGAAAATGGTCAGATGAAGGGCCCGGTGACCACCTCATGGGAAGAGAACTTGTTCCACAGCTTTGGCCAAAAGGTGGGGGAGAGGTAGGTTACAGGATGCTCCACCATCTGGATTGCTGATTCCTTTTTTAACTATGGAATTTTTAAAATTATGAAACCTCTAAACATATATATATATATATATATATATATATATATATATATATATATATATATATAAAACTATAGATACTACAGCCCCTAATCAACCAGTACCCTCTATCAACTGAGCATTTTGACATTTTTCTTTGCCTCAGATACTTTTTTAAAAAGAAATAAAATAGTAGTTATCAGTTAAAGCATCATGTGTACCATTTCCCCATCTGATCCCATTCTCCTGCCTCCCCTCTCCCCAGAAGGAACCAATATCTTACATATGATGTTTTTCCTCCCTGTGCATGTCTTAACACATTTAGTAAACATGTACATATAGGAGTGGACTTGCGAGTTTCCAGTGAGCGAGGGAAGAGAATCAGAGTGCCCTTCAGAAGCACACAGACAGAAGTCCCAGGAGAACAAAAGGTTGTAAGCGTAGGCCGGCACCTGTAGCCGACCTGATTGGGAGAAGGGGGAATGGATGGGTAATAGAGGTGAAGGTAAGTCTGAGGTGTTTTTGCTCATTCCAAAAGCACAGCTAGCAAAAGGTGTTACACCTAATACCTATCAGCAATCCTTCATGGTAAAGGTCTTTTAAAATGATTATTCAACCTTCACTCCCTCCCAGTCACCCTGAGAGGTAGAACAGAAATACTAGTCTCGTTTTATACGTGAAGAGAGCGAGATGGTACACAATGAACTGGCTGCTACAAAGCTAGTTACTAATAGAACTGAGACCAGAGCTCACTTTCTTGTTTTCATCCTTCAGGCTCCAGGCAGTTTCCAAAAATACATGCAAATCTAGAACGAGTAAACCACAGTTTCAAGTTAAAAAAAAAGTTAAAAATGAAGTTGGTGAGATTGCAGGGCTAAGAGCCCTGCTTCAAATCCCACTTGTGTCAGTCTTCCTCAGATTTAATTAATTGGGTGTCTAATATGCAGATGTGCAAAAGCAGGAATGAAAATCACTACCTCCCCAGCTGCAAGGAGGAAACTTAGCCA